TGCCTCTAAATCTTGTTTATTAAAGTTTCATTTCAGTATAATTATAAGAGTTAATCCAGTGAACAATAAGTACCTGATTCAACACATTTTCTTGATAGTTCAGGAAAATCTGACTTGTGTGTTTTGAATAACATAGTGGCATAGTGAAAATTATAACATGATCAATCCAATCAGCTATTTTCTTTTGTTGATTAAAGAAAAATTCAAATTATGGAAATGTGAAATCACAGGCAACATGTCAGTCATTGTCTGTAAAATATAGCCATTTCTTCATTATTTGTTGAATGAATAAGTTCTCTCTCTTTAAAATTACTTGAAAAGAGAAAAACATCTCTAATAGTCATTGCTCAATATTGTGCCATTTTTTATATTGATGGTCTTCAAAGAAAATACTGGCTTGGAATCAAAGGTGTTTGAGACTCTGTCCCTATCTGTGTGACGTGAAAGGACACAGGTCAACACTCTGAACTTGATAACTTAAAAAATCAGAATAATACCAGCGGTTTCTTTGCACAGTTATGTGAAACATGCACAAAATGAGATAATGTTTGTAAAGTTCTTATCGCTTAATAAGTATTACATAAGTTATAGGAGAGGGATATCAGAAAAACATTCCTAAGACATAATAATAAAAGGCAATAATAATAATAATATGATAGTGCACTTAACATTTCACATGGATTATCTCATTTAACTTTTAAGCAATAACATAAATTACTATTGTTACCTCTATTTTAGAAATGATTAAAATAAGACCTAAGAACTTGTTAATGTCACAAGTCAATAAAGGGCAGAACAGTGATTGAATAAGTAAAGATAGCAGCTATTAATATCATATTATTATCCTCATCATCGCCATCATCAATGCTTGCTGCTATCTCTGTAGCAGACTAGGCTATAAAAATGAGCTCTTGGGTACTTCCAAAGATAACTGCCTCCCCTTGGAAGGAATCCAGAACAAGCCCACATTAAGCTAAATTCTGCATTAGAGTGGGCTGTCGTACAGTTGGGAGGATTTATTCCAAGCACCTAGAAGGCACATGAAAGATGAATAGATAAAATTCATCAGACTTTCTTTTTTCTTTAAACGTATCTCAATGCAATGAAGAGAAGGAACATGAAACCATTTTGTCCATACACAAAAGCATTTTTAAATGTAATTATAACTGAGTTATCAGTTCCTTGGAAATCAAACACAAGGCCAAAGGTATGTACACTACACATGAAATATGGTCTAGATTGTTGATGGGTGACAAAAATTAAAGAATTGAATATTAATGCATGAGTCTACAATGAAGAGACTCAAAAGGAAAAGTGTAGAGTTTACCCAAATTGAATTCTATGAAGCTCTTTTTTCAAAAGTATTCACTCCTATCTCCCTCAATTACCAAGATAAATGTAAACTTGCAGTATTTTAGATATAAATTAATACCCAAAGTGTATATTTTCCTTAAAAAAACATTTCAATGACTTAACATCATATCTGCATTATCACTTTTAAACACTGATATAAAAGATGATTTCACAAAACACCAAAATATACCATTCAAATGGATCATGAAAAACAGAACATAATGTTAATATTCCCATTATTTTAGAGAAAACTCAACAAAACATTCTATATCTTGATAATAAAATTTTCTAAAATACTTCGAATGACTTTCAACTTTTATTTTCATAATCATCAATAGTGTCAGACATTTAAAGTACATCATGATTTTTCTTTTTATTCAATTTGAAAATGTGTTACAAATGGAAGTTGATCATTAATGAATTTAGAATACCAATTTTTAAAAAATGAAAGAATTAAAAACACCAGTTGTAGCTGCAGATTCAAAACTCAAATTAATAGACTTGACAGAGGAAGCCAAAAACTAATGATTTCATAACAGGAATCTTGATGGAAAATCACCTGAATATAATATCTCGCAAATTGAAAATATGCCTAAAACCATTAAATTGTCTAGTGTTCACATGGCAAAGCTGCACAGCCTCCCACATGACAGTCACCACCCCCCATGCCATGTAGGAATAAAATGGAAAGCAAGACCTCACCATTCCCAATACCTATGAGTAATTCTTCACCTCTTGACCTACTGTGGTGTATCACAGTCAGAATCGGGGACCAGGAAAGGTACCCTGTGAATAGACACAGTTGCTTTTTTGTTTTTCACATGCTTGTCATTGGCCTGTGACTCAAACCTAGGTAATTATGGAGGGAAGAGTGTCAATAGATTCAAAGTAACAAGATAAAGAACAAACCAGAGAGTTTTGGTATTTGAAAGACTAGACTTTAAAAAAGGCTTTTTATGTTTATACTCTCCCAGTTGTCTAGTCATCTTGTCTCTAATTCTGATTGCCTTAATAAGTGTAAGTTGTTGTATTCATAGTTGAAACCCAAAGGAAGAATTTAAAGTCTTAGCCATAGAGATAGAATCTGGAGTCAAAAAGACCCTGGTTTCAATTCCTCTGTACACCCTCTCACATGTTCACTATGTAAGTTAGAAGTTACTTAGTTCTCGTGTATGTCAAAGTCTATATCTATAAACAGGAATGACAATACTTACTTCATAGAATCATTGTGAGATGTCAGATGCTTAGCAAAGGGCCTGACATTGAAAGTGGTTAGTATTATAATTACTCCTATAGAACACCACTTATTACAAGCCAGGGTTAGGGGCTTGGAGGCAGTAGAGGAGATCTGCAAGCCTCAATCACCTTTCACAGCCTCAGGTTACTTGTTCAAAATCTCCCTTCTCATCTAGTATTGTCATTCTTCCTAAAATTTTTCTTCCTTCCTCACCATGATTTGTAAAGCTAGTGTAGAACTTTATCACTAATCATGGCGCAAATAAGGCTTAACAAAACTATAGACTTTTGCCCTTTGCAATACCTAAATCATCTGTAATGGAGATTTTAGAAGTTTTCCCTCAGCATAAAGGAGAGCTCTACTACCTTATGAAATAATAATAACAATACCTAAACATGACGAAGAACTATTTACTGGGATAATTTTAGCCTCTTTGTGTTTTCTAAATGGAAGTACTCTTTATACAGATGACAGGTAACTAAATGGATAACTACTAAGGCAACAAAACTAGAAATATTATACAATTTCAAATGCTTTGAAATTGCCCTGTACTTTTCACAAGATAATTTGTAAGCTACACAAGGACAGAGCTCTTCCCTGATGTATCTTAAGCACCTAAAATCATGCCTGGTATATCAAGAAATATATCTCCTTCTTTAGAAACTTGCAAAAAAAAAACAAAACAAAAGCAGCCATACTGCTTTATTTTTAAAAATCAACAAAAATTATAATTTCCAAGCATTTGCTTATGAAGGCAAACTCTGACCTTGAGTCCTGGGTTCGACTTTGTATTATGTGATCCTAAGTAATTCACTTAATTCCTCTGTGTCTGTTTCCCCTTTTTAAGATGTGTAGATTTACTACCTCATAGTGTTGTTATTAAACTAAAATAAAAATAAGTTAATACATGAGTGAAGAGATTTCAGAACTTTCTGGTATAAAGAAAGTACTCAAGGGCTGGGTTGTGGCTCAAGCAGTAGCCAGTAGCGCGTTTGCCTGGCATGTGTGCAGCCCGTGTTTGATCCTCAGCACCACATACAAAACAAAAAGATGTTGTGTCCCTGAAAACTAAAAAATAAATATTAAAAAAAACTATCTCTCTCTCTCTCTCTCTCTCTCTCTCTCTCTCTCTCTCTCTTTCTCCATCTCCCTCTCTCTCAAAAAAAGAAAGTATCAATAAATGCACGGTGTTTTTATTAAAATTGGAAATTTTGCTGAGACATTGGGATTCATGAAATAAATGCAGCTAGGAGTCCCACAGCCAAATGACAAAGACAGAGCTAAACCACTATGTTACTGTCCAATATATGGAAAAGATCTCCCTATTGTATCAAGCTACCTGCTCGTCCTTTGTACCTGTATACTTTGTAAAATTATTTACTAGAAAAAAAAGATGAGTATGATTCACCCTCTTAGAAAACGCAATTGGAAAAAAATTAGTATTCTGAGATATTTGTTGGAAATAATGAGAAAATCTTGACCCATAATACACAAAGCAGTTCATAGAACTGCCCTAATTCCAAGTTTAGCACACTTAAATAGTCTGGAAATTTTGGCATTTATTTGAACACAGACTGAGGAGAACTGGAATCAAATGCTATAATTCTTGAGATGTCTTCAGCATAATCTAATATTCAGAATCACTGAGCGCCTCACTTCCTCCCTAGGTCTTTTTTTCCCCCTCTTCTCCATCCACCCGCTCAGCTGGAGCTAGGCACTTTGGCTGGAGTTCTCCCTGGCGGGGGCGGCTGATTCCCAGAGCCCAGAGGCCCGGAGCCGCTAAATGGTGAAGGCTCAGCGTGGCAGCAAGTTCTGGCAAAGAGCTGATCTGTGAGCATTCTCTTCCAGACGGGTCAAGTCCGGCTTCACGCATGGACTAGGAGAATTAAAGGAAGGTTACTTTATCAGCGGTGCCAGCTGAGCGCAGCCCAGGTGTGCCAGGAGCTGCAGGTGAGTTACTGTAGGTCTCTCCCTTCCCACTCCACCTTATCCGCCCCGTGTCCAACACGTTGGCTAGGGCGCAGCTCCAAGAGGTCCGGAGGGCACATTTTTAGTCTCACCTGGGAACCTGCTCTAGGCTTCTCCATTTACCGCGGGGTCGCTAATGTTTAAACTCCTGTTCCAACCCAAGTTTCTGCTATTCCTGGTCTTTCCTCCTCTCTCCTTTCCTAAGCTGAGAGCCTGTTCTCCCGGAAAGTTTAAGAGTGCACAGTGTCTCCTTGTAGGATGGACACCCCAGTGGGTGGGAGCTCCCAATGATGACCTCTAGTTCTTAGTGACCCCCTGGGATTTTAATTAAAACGCATCATATTAGCCTTATATCTCAACAGAGCGGGGTGACTAAAGCAAGAGGGAGAAGAAAATAGAGCAGGAATAACAAATCAGACTGGAATAAGAGTGAAGTGGGAAGAAAGGTTGCAGCCAGGTCTACAAGTACCCTACCCCACGCGCTCACACCTGGAGTAGACACCCCTATAAAGATTTTACAATATTTACAATAAAAGAAAGGGGGAAAATACAAGCCCTCAAGTTAGTAAGGACTCAGACCCAATTACCTCCTCAGCTTTCTAAACTTTGTTTTGATCTCCTGCCTGGAGAAGTGAGTCTTGCCATAGCCTTTGCTTGCGCCAGGCTACGAGTACGCACCCCTCCTTCTTCCCCCTCCAAGCTACACCTCCCTCTCCCACTCCCTTCCCCAACCCCTCCTCACTCCAAGCAGCGCTACCGAAGATGGGGATCCCAATTCCAGAGTTGGGGGCGGAGGGGTGCGTACATCCGGGAAGAGCCACAGCGACTGGCTGTGTTTCCTGGGGCTGTCCTGGGCTGGGTCCACACACAACAGTTTCCCTTGGCGAAACCTCTCCTCTCCTCCCAGCCTCCGAGCTCTGCCACTTGTGCGCTGCCACCGCGCACTCGCAGCTCCCTAGCGACAAGAAGGGGAACGAGCACAGCGGGTGGAGCGAGGAGGGGTGCGCGAGTGGGAGGCACCTCCCTCGGGAGGCTGGGAAATCCCGACCGTCACCAGGGGCCGTGCCACCGCCCTCGCGGGACCGAGGCTTCCAGCGTGTTCCCAACTTTGTGGCGCCCTCAGGCAGTGGCGGCGGGAATGGAGCTGCCTCATAGCGGCCGGACGCCGCTGGGCTCACCGCTGGACAGCTGCTCCCTGGCCTCTCTCGACTCCAGCGTCTTCTGCAGCGAGGGTGAAGGGGAGCCCTTAGCGCTTGGGGACTGCTTCACGGTCAACGTAGGCGGCAGCCGCTTCGTACTCTCGCAACAGGCGCTGTCTTGCTTCCCGCATACGCGCCTTGGCAAGCTGGCGGTGGTGGTGGCCTCCTACCGCCGTTTGGGAGCCCTGGCTGCAGCGCCCAGCCCCCTAGAGCTCTGCGACGACGCCAACCCCGTAGACAACGAGTACTTCTTCGACCGCAGCTCGCAGGCGTTCCGCTATGTCCTGCACTACTATCGCACCGGCAGACTGCACGTCATGGAGCAGCTGTGCGCCCTGTCCTTCCTTCAGGAGATCCAGTACTGGGGCATCGACGAGCTCAGCATCGACTCCTGCTGCAGGGACAGGTACCCGAGAGGCGCGGTGGCTGGGGGAAGGAGGGGGCGTAAGGCAGGTGTGATGCAGAGAGGAAGGCACAGGTAAAGACGTGAGGCTTTACGTAAGCTTCGCTGAAACCAGGCCTATGAATAGGTGTGGCCGCCTCTGGGCTGGAAGATGAGGTGGGGTTGTGAGGCTGGGAAGCAGGAAAGCCAGATTTTGAATTCAACTTTTTGAACTTTCTTGTCCCTATTGTTTGAGTGAGTTATGCTAATTTCATATAAAAGATAAGGGAAGTAAGACTTGCAATAAATATTTGGTGATTGATAGAATTAAGTCAGAAAAGCTGTGCTTCGAAAGAAATCTAGGGGTGAAGGTGTTGGTATGAAGCCCTGTTAAACCTAGGACACTAACTTTTTGAAAAACTTGCATGGAGAACTGCTTTAAATACAGAAGGAAAGTTGGTTCCTTCACTGGGTGATGGTAGAGCTCTGATGAGGACTTTGCTGTTATCTTGTCATTACTACCATTTCTTCATGAATAACTTTCCTTTACACACAACAAAGTTCCATATGGCAAACAGCTGTTCTTGTTATCAGAACATGGGTAATAAAAATGCATTGATCCACAGTTGCTTTGTTATGTATAAAATCCTTTTGCATAAACTCCTACTAAGAAAATGTCACTTTAAAAATCATGATCCTAAGTGAGAAATTCTCAATTGCTGTGGGCAGGAGACAAACTGGGTAAAGTATGAATAGACTTCTTTTTTTTTTTTTAACTGAAACTTACCTCCCTTTCAAGTTTCTCTTCTACTTCTGTATTTTTTAAAAAAGTTAAACTAATCACCAAGTTGTCTTCTCTAAAAGATACTTCAGAAGAAAGGAGCTGAGTGAAACTCTAGACTTTAAGAAGGACACAGATGATCAGGAAAGCCAACATGAAAGTGAACAGGACTTCTCACAAGGACCTTGTCCCACTGTCCGCCAGAAGCTCTGGAATATCTTGGAGAAACCTGGGTCTTCTACAGCTGCCCGAATCTTTGGGGTCATCTCTATCATCTTTGTGGCGGTGTCCATCGTCAATATGGCCCTGATGTCAGCTGAATTAAGTTGGCTGAACCTGCAGCTGCTGGAGATCTTGGAGTATGTGTGCATTAGCTGGTTCACCGGGGAGTTTGTCCTGCGCTTCTTGTGTGTGCGGGACAGGTGCCGCTTCCTGAGAAAGGTGCCAAACATCATTGACCTCCTTGCCATTTTGCCCTTCTACATCACTCTCTTGGTAGAAAGCCTGAGCGGCAGCCAGACCACACAAGAGCTGGAAAATGTGGGACGCATCGTCCAGGTTTTGAGGCTGCTCAGGGCTCTACGAATGCTAAAACTGGGCAGGCACTCCACAGGTATTCAAATTTCATTGATGCTTTTTTAAATATGCCATTGTTATCAACCATTAGTGGTTTGACCATAGTACACAGAAAGCCACTCTGAATTGGTATGTGAAACTGACAGTTATCATGCTTTACCCAAATGTGACCTCTTAAGAGATACTGGGAAGCAAAATCTTAAATGTTGTCATTGCAGATATAGAGGAAAAGGTATCTCTGACACATTTTCTCTTCACAAGATGTTGAGGAACAATTTGACCATTTGATAACTTCAATTTATTGGAACCCAAGGTCAAGATGATGTACAAAAATAAAGACTCTGCCTCTAGGTAGTTTTAGACAAAGCATGCATAAATAACACACAAATACATGCACAGTAATTATATAATGTTAGGAACATAAGCTAGTTTGTTGTCTATAGCTGAGAAGTGTGTGCACACACTCTCTTCATAATATATATATATATATATATATATATATATAGTGTGTGTGTGTGTGTATATATATATATATATATATATATTTCTTCTGCCATATATGTTATATATGGCAGAAGAAAAAGTCATTCCTCCAGAGTCTTCCCTGATCATGAGGAAGAGAGATAACCAGGTGCTGACGACCTTTCCTTAATTTTTAAAGTAGCAATGGAAATATATTACTTTGAAAGAAAGAGAAGACTCTACTTAAATGTCTTAGCTAGTATTTGAGAATTTTCTTGTTCTTCAGAGAGAGAAGAAACAAGAAGTCATGAGTTTTTTTGTGTTATAGAGACTTTGAAAATCAAATGAACATTCCCTAGAAAAATTTTCACACAACACAATACATACATATGATCATACATGAAAATTATAGTTGATATCAGTGCAAGTCACACAGAATATTAAAGACAATTCTTGAATGCAGTTGTTCTCAATAGCTGGTCCTGAAGCTGTTGAACATTCTGCAGTAATATGTAAGTTATCTATGTCACACCTTAGGGAAAGCAAGAATCCCCAAACTTGTTGAAATGTAGATTTTAAACCCCAAATCCCAGAAAGATAGTTTAGTATGTGGGTTGGATCTATTCCAATAAGTTTGAAGATGATTTGATATCAGTGGTTCCTGGACCATACTTTTAGGGATGCCATATTAATACAATACATATTAATACAAATACATACTGTTACAAATGAGTTGGCTAGAGATTCCTTTTCCAATATTATTTACATATAGATGTCCCTGACTAGCCACCTAAAGGGGACGATGATAGTAGTTTCTCCCTATAAGTATAAGGGACAAATAAACCTCTGTGTTTTTTTTCCTACTACTTTATGGTAAATTAGAACTCACTCTAATATAATTTTGGTGTGTATTTTCCTAGCTAGTCTCATAGCCAGGATTTGATAATGGGGTTTCTAACTACTTTTATAAGTTCTACTCTTCATTTTCTGACACACATAATGGGATGCTTTCTTTGAGTATTTATAAACTCTTCACAGTATTCAGTTTTAAAAACACTGAACAAAGACCACATTTTCTTTTCTCAAAAGGAAGGAAAAGGAAAATAATAGTAATTTTCATAGTGTCACCTCTTCAAAAGCTTTCTCAGTAATAAACAAGTATAAATCATTAATAAAGCCTTAATTTATTAAAAATATATGACAATTTCATTAATATTTGATAATTTTTCCTGAAGCATAACATTCAGCAAAATGTAGATATATATGTAGATTTTGACATATATCCCCACATATTAATTATGAATAAAGATGTATTACAGAATAATGGTTAGAAGGCCAGACTGCCTAAATTTAAAGCCTGGTTTTGTAGCTTTGTACTAGATAAAACTACCTCTCTATGCCTGAGCCTCCTTATATGTAAAATTGTACAGCAATCACAACACCTGTCATATTTCTTTGAGGATTATCTAAGTTAAGAGATGGAACATGGTAGACATTCAGCCCCCTTTATATTTCTTAACAAAACTGTTTAGAGTACTTCATCTTTGAATAAAAACACTTTTCTCAGACAAACACAATGTTTCTTCTCATATTGTCAATTTACTTCAGAAATGTAATTCCATATAGACACATCAAGGCAAGTTTTATAACTAGGTGTTATAAATGTATTCTAAAAGATATTCTTTTGAAGTTAAATCTCAAAATTAATATTCATTGGTCTTTAAAAATAGCTGGTTAATAATGCAAGAATATCTCAAAATTTGAAGAGCAAAATTCAAAACAATGAGAGCATGAATAGTATTCTACATCTTGAATAATCTCAAGTGAGTTAATCAGAATAAAAAATGATTCTAAAAGGTAATGCTTTGGACTTCTGGGGCAACGTCATTGTGATGCCATGTCTTCAAAATGTGTTTAAACTTTTAGAAGTATCTCTGTAGCATTAGGAGGGTGATCAATGGTTAATTTAAAGCCTGGTTTATAATGGGCTTAATACATTCACATGTGGAATTGGAATCTCTTGGGTCTGTCTCCCAGGGGATCAATGAATCATCAGCATCTAGCCATGGGACCCCTCCAATGCCTCCTAGTGATTAAATTTACCAGTGGCTCCATTCTTGCACCTTTTTGCAATGGAGGAACATTCTGTATTCAACTGTTTTCTTACAGAAAATCAGAAATGTTATGTGCTCAAGGAGGTAATTCCCTGTAGTTTTGATATTAAGCACTAGGATTTCAATGGGTGTCCTGGTAGTGCAAGGACCTTGACCTGATACACAACAAAGAATGTCCCCTGAATATATCTGTGAGGTTCTTGTGTCAAAACCTAATTTGCTTCTGTGCTTTATTTCCTTGGTATGGTAAAAAAGGTTTAGTTACTCTGGCTTTCAGATAATGAGGCACCTGGTTGTTTTAAACTTTATCAAGAGGGTGACAAAGCAGACATACACACAAAGTATGAAAACAACGTAAAACTGGTTTTAGAGAGCAGTCTGAAATGATGCATTCACATGTGAGTTTGACCAAATGCACCTTCTATATGCAACAGTACAAAGGTCTCTCACTGTGTACAGTACAAAATTCCTCTCATACACCTTCTCCCTGCCTGTTAGTCTCATTCCTCTCCCTGTTTTAAGTATACATAGTAGAAGTTCAATAATTACATAAGCCAATTATATTTTTCTCCATCCTTCTGAACCGGTCCTCATCAACTAAACTACATGATTCTGGAAGACAGAGGTCATGATATAATCATTTTCGTATCCCCAAACATTGCCCAGCGCTGGGGACATATTATGTGGACAGTGCATGTTTGTGGGTGGAGATCAAGGAGTGAGGGGGAAGGGAGAAGAGAGGAGAGGTGCTAATGATGATTGACAGCAGTTGTTCTGTTGCAGGATTGCGCTCACTTGGGATGACAATCACCCAATGCTATGAAGAGGTCGGCCTACTGCTCTTATTTTTATCTGTGGGAATTTCTATATTTTCAACCATAGAATATTTTGCGGAGCAAAGCATTCCTGACACAACCTTCACAAGCGTTCCTTGTGCATGGTGGTGGGCTACAACATCCATGACTACCGTGGGCTATGGGGACATTAGACCAGACACTACCACGGGCAAAATTGTGGCCTTCATGTGTATATTATCAGGAATCCTTGTCTTGGCCTTGCCTATTGCTATTATTAATGATCGCTTCTCTGCTTGCTACTTCACCTTGAAACTCAAGGAAGCAGCTGTTAGACAGCGTGAAGCTCTGAAGAAGCTTACCAAGAATATAGCCACTGACTCATATATCAGCGTTAACTTGAGAGATGTCTATGCCCGGAGTATAATGGAGATGCTTCGATTAAAAGGCAGAGAAAGAGCAAGTACGAGGAGCAGCGGGGGAGATGATTTCTGGTTTTAAATTGACTTCTAATTTATCTATAAAAGTTGTGTACAATTAATCAGATTGATAAAGCCTTGACATGGATCTCTGTATTACTGATGAAGAATCTCTTCAACACTATACATCTTAAATTTTGCTGATATCTTACCTGGTCTCCTAGAATATTTCACATAACCCATATCAATTACACATTTTTTGACACAGTTGAATCTCAAAAAGAGCTGATTAACAACAAAGTAAAATTGAGACAATATACACATGTCTGAATTGTCAAAATATGAAATAATATTATTGTGATACATATAATAAAGTTAAGTTTTACACATCACCAATTTTAGAAGTTTTTGCTCCTCTATTTTTTTTTTAATGGCAGTTAAACTACATAGACCAGAGAAAAGATAACTGAACATTTAAGAACACACTGAACATCTTTGCTATTTAAAGACATTCTCCAAGCAAATTACTCTTTTCTCCATCAGTTAAAACAGTTGTGTAACAATTAGCTTTGCAAGAGAAAAATCTGACTTAGTGGTCATAGATGGTGTCCCTATCTACCATGTGGTACAAACCACTAGTCACAAATGGATCAAGCTCTGCCTCCCATTATTAATCTTGCAGGTGGGAGAACTAGACTGCTAAGTACTGTAGAAGATGAGTCTGCACAGACTTTGAGAACTGCACATTTTCATTCTCCCAGCTGAGTGTAATATGCTAAGCATAAAGTAGCGTATTTCTTAGTTCTTTATGAAAATCAGATGGTTTTTAAAATGTCTCATTATGGATATATTATGTCTTCAACATCATGAATATGTAAAAGTGAAGTAGTGACATCCTAAATTTATATGCTGAAATTATTAAATGGTCTTATTTTATAAAATGAGAATATGTTGAATGACATCATTGGATGAACTTGAAGATCTTTTATTTGTTAACAAAAAAAATATTATGGACAGCTTTCTGACTGTGGGGTAAATAGCAAATGTTCAAACTTTGCAGGCATTCTGACAGCATTTTGACATTCATGATAATAATAAAATTCCTAGACATTCTGTTACATAATTAAAGCCAAAAACTCTTAAGAACCAGCTCATGATTCCAAATATTCTAGTAAATGAGATTTTTAAAAATAATAATAACAGCAAGGAATGAATAACTTTAATGTCTGCTTTCTCAGTGTATGTAATAAAGACCCTACAGGGAAGAAAATTGGTTCCTGGGTAGGGGAAGTCTTCTACTTTTTATGCATAAAGCTCAAATATACACATAGTACATAAACATACATACAGAATACCTGCAATACTAAAATTTCATAGGGAGGAAAATTAGAAAAATGCCCAGAAACTTCATTGCTGGTAGTGAATGGTGAGAAATAAATATAGAAAAACATTGCTTTAGTACCTGCCCTAATATGCTTCGTTAACTGAATGTTAAGACAGCCTACTATCCTATAAACTACCAAGAAAGAAAGAAGGGTGCCAAATTACAAGATGCCATTGATGGTAAAAGAAATCCATATTTTTGGATCTGTAAAAATTTATTATATCTTAAAAGCAATGAAATATCACATGCACTACCTCCTGATTTCAGGTATGCATGCTTAAGCTCTGAAAAAAAAATTTCATTGATGGCATGAGTTTTTATTATATACTGAAGTGGTTTAATTCATTTGACTATTTTGCACTTCTAAATATTATAATATCTTTAGGAGATATGAGTATGAATAAATATTTTTCCTCTTACCCACAGACATGGGTGCTAGAGCATGGCATAGGGCCACTAGTCCTCCTGTACATTCCATCCATAGTCTAAAAGGTCAATAGAGGTCAGATGGAGAAGACAAACTTACTCTGGCTTCTCTAGAACCTTCCCAATAAGATTATTCAGGACTATGTCTGTATTCATCATGTATTAAGTCACTTTATCTTCAAAATGTCCCAGTTATGTAATTGCTATTCTTATACTCTTCTAAATATATATTTTATATATTTATTAATTCAACAAATATTTATTAAGGATCCTCTGAGTGTTGGGCACTAGAGAGTCTTTGTTAAACAAAGTCCTGTTCTCCTGTATATAATATTTTATTCAAAGATATAAGAGGAAGAGAGATGACAAAATTGAAATAATAAAAAATTTAAATTTGCTGAGCATAAATCTACCTGACTCAGAAAATGATACTCTTAGAGTCTTATTATAGATTTTATTCTACCTACACAACTCATGCATAGGGATTCATTTTATAGGTAGGAAAACCAACTTTTTGTGAATGGAGAGCCTTATGAAAAATATCAGTTTATTCTCAGAGGGAAAAAGGTGCTTTTTTAAAAAAAAAAAAAAGTTGTGGTGACAGCTTAGTTATTACTGGACAAGAAAAATGTTGTCTTTGAAATACATAACAGTTGGAAAATTTTAAATTATATTTACATATATATTTTCCCCATCACAGAGTATCCTAAATATGTTCTATAAAATGTGGTTTGTTAGCTGTAAAAATTTTGTCAAGGCATAGACACTTCAAAACAGTTTTAAAATATCATTGCTAAGTCAATTTTTCTGTTATACAAAACATCAGTGTATTTATTCAATAAATGTACATATAAGCAAGTGAAATTTAATTGAAGTAACAAATCAATGAAGAAACTGTGAATTTTATTTGTTTGTTTATGACAGGGATTGTACCCAGGGCCTTGCATATGCTAGTCAAACACTGCACCACTGAGCTACAATCCCAGCCCTCTCATTATTTTTAAAACTTTGGGGATTCTTCAAAAACTTAAGAATTATTCTTATAAAACAATATCTAACTTGTTTAGAAATATACAATAAGGAAATGTTGTCTTTCTCTAAACTATTCAGAAAAGACTAACTAAAAAACATCTGAATGCACAGAGCCAATACTTGAGTACCTAAAATATTTATTTTACTGAGGAATCTCTGACAGGAGTGACAGCATATTCATGTTTTATGGTGTTTTTTCTTCTCTGTGTAAATACATACATACATATATAAGGAATTTTTTCAGTTATAATTTTAATGAAAAGTAGTATTAAGTGTAATGGATAACACACAAAGAAGTTCATTGAAGTAGAAATCTCAGTTATGTGTTTCCATGTGGAATTCTTACTCTCAGTAAAATTTTTTGACCAGCTCCTGCACAAAATATCTATGCCAACCCAAGTAATCTAAGTAAACAGTTACCATTAGGTAAGCTTATACTTTTAACAAATATTTTCTCTGATACATTTTAACATGAAAAGGTTGAATTTTTTGAAAAGTAGCCATCAAGATCTCCAGGGTCTTATCCATTCTTTAAATGAGACCCAAGAATTATATTTAGTTGGTTGACAAATGTGTTCCAGTGTTTCCATTGGTGATTTTCTCCCTCAAAGCACCACCCTCTCCCAAAGCCCTCTCCAAGCCATACTGCTAAATGGAAGAAAAATGTCATATAAGGAGAGTTTTACTTGTAAGCCACATAGGCCGTTGCTTACATGGTAAATCTTTAGGAATAATGGGATAACCTGGGTATTCATGACCTCACTTTCCTTATATTATGATCACTCTCCTGCTTAACTCCTCACCTCCACTGACCTTCTCTTCTTTTCTAGTATCCAAATGGCAATACGTCAACCCTAATTAAATCCAAAGTCTATTTGTGCTTGTTTAAAAAAAAAAATTCATGCTGACTGATCCCACTTTGCATTTATGTCTACAACCCCTTTTTCAGTTCTTGGTGCTGGTAAGCAATCATACTGCAATCCTTGAGTCCATTCACTCTTAAAATAAATGGAAACTTCTAACAGCTTCCTTTGATTCCTCTTTCACTCAAAAAAAAAAAAACTGAGTCATAGAGGAGATTTTCTACAAGAACCAGCACCCACATTTATCCACCCACCTCCATCTGTCTCCACAGAGCCTTTTCTCCCATTGCAAGGGCTGAACTATCCTTCCCACTTTTTCTCGCACTCTGAGACATGACTTCAAAAAGTTCCCCTTCTCCCTACCACACCATTAATTTTTGCCTTCCCTAGTGGACATTCTTATCAGCATACAAACATTATTTAATTTTTCCCATCTTAAAAAAAATGGGGAAAAAAGGCAAATAAACTCCTTGAGTCTACTTCATTCTCTAGAAAACACCCAATTCTCTACTATTGTTCATGGCAAAATGTCTTGACTCTATCTTCTATACTCAGTCTTTCAATTTTTACATTTATTCTTTCTTTTTCCTGAAAGTCCTCTCATCAATCTTCCACCCCTCATCTCCTAAAAACCTGTTGTTCTTGTGCTCAGCAGCGACCCCATCACTGCTAAATCCAGTTATGAATGCTGACAACTCATATTGTCTTTTCTAGCAGCAGCATTTATTTTTCTTTTTGCAGTACTGCATTGAACCCGAGGGTGTTTTACCACTGAGCTACATCTCCAGCCTTTTATTTTACTTTATTTCATTTTATTTTGAGACAGAGTCTAGCTAATTTTCTGAGGCTGGCCTTGAATTTGCCCTCTCCTACTTCAGCCTACTGAGTTGCTGGGATTTACAGGCATTTGACCAGGTTAACTACAGACCCTTCTCTGAAACGCTTCCTTTACTTGGAGCCCTTTATACCCTTCTAATTTCACCCCTACTTCATTACTCAGTAATCTTCTGTGGTTGAGAGTCAGTCAGGGCCTAATCCTCATCTTATTCTGTTCTCTATTGATACTGCTCCTTTTATAAAAAAGACTCTGGTTTCATGGGTTAAATATAACCAGCACTTGGTCAGCTCCCACATTTCCATGTCCAAACTAGACCTTTCCTCTCACCTTCCTATATTTATTTTATTTTTTTTAAGAGAGAGTGAGAGAGGAGAGAGAGAGAGAGAGAGAGAATTTTTAATATTTATTTTTTAGTTCTCGGCGGACACAACATCTTTGTTGGTATGTGGTGCTGAGGATCGAACCCCGGCCGCACACATGCCAGGCCAGCGCGCTACCGCTTGAGCCACATCCCCAGCCCCACCTTCCTATATTTATTCAACAGATTTCCAATAAATATCTTAAAATTATCACCACCAATGTCAAGCTATTGACACTTCTTATTATGATTTATATATGAATTATCCTCCTAAAGAATCTGTGTTTATGAAGGAGGTAAAATGATTAGATTAGAAGAGCTGTAATCTAAACAATCCACGCTATTTTAAATTGATTTAATTAAATGGTAAATGTAGGCCAGTGGGGTATAGCTAGAGGGTGTGGGTTACTGGCAGAATAATCTGAAAGGTTTCATCTTTCATCAGACTCTTTGCCTCTCTCTCTGCTTCCTGGATACCATGAACAGAGCAGCACTCCTCCATCACACCCTCACCATGATGTTCTGCCTCATCATAGGCCCAGAGCAATGGAGTTGACCCACCATGGACTGAACCTCTGAAACTATGAACCAAAATAAACTCTTCCTCTTCTTACCAGATAATTTGGTTACAGTGACAAACGGCTGACTAACACAGAAATTGAAACCAAGAAGGGGGGTCACTTCTGTGACTAATCTGATCATCTGGTTCAGAAACCTTTGGATCTGACTTATGGAAGGAGTTTGGAAACACTGGAGATACAGGATGGAGAATCCTTAGACTGTTGTAAGCAAAGCTTAATGGGCCATTCTGGTGAGAGCTGAGAAGACCAGAATGCCAAGAGGAATGGGGACAGTAGAAACACTGCTTATGAGTTTTAAGAGGGGTATGAGGACTCTATTTGGAATTGGACTAGAGGACATTCATAATAAGTTTTATTGAAGAATGTGTCTGTCTACATTTTGCCCATATTTTGAGACTTTGTGCGAAGCTGAATTTAAGGGTTATGGATTAATTACTCTGGTGAAAGAAATTTTAAGAAGGAAATTTCAAGCATAGCATTCAGATAGTGGTATGAATTTTGCTGGCAGCTTTCAGCTAAGCTTACTGTAAAAATTAGGAGCAGATAGTAGAGTCAAAGGGTTTAAAAACCTTGAAGTTTCACCAAATTGCAAGAAATCTTATTTCATCTTCTTTAAAGGATCTATAGTCTAAGAAATTTTGGTAAATAAAAGAAAATAATGATGATATACATATTTTCTACATTATTCAATTGCTCAATACCCAAATTATATACAAAGAAATAATAATTGAATCAAAGAAGATCTGACAAGTTAGGCAAAGGCAAATATACAAAAAAAAGGAAAAAAGGAAATGAAAAATATGGTAACAAGAATGATTTTGAAATTATGGGAGGAAACATATTCCTTGATATATATCAATGATCATCTCAAAACCTTACACAGGGTAAGTAGATAGAATTTCAAAAATCTACCTACAAAAATCAAATCTTCCTTAAAAAGTAACAAGTTTCTCTAAACTAGGGCAATATTTCGAAAACCCTGTCTTTATACATGTCTTTGCTGTACAGCAAATGTTTTATCTTAAGTGGTCTATAATTATTATTGCCAACTAATTCTAAATGGTACATGTGAAAATAAAAGACATTTACTGTTGCCATGGAAACTATACTTTGTAGGAAATTTATTTCAACAGGCCTTGCTTCTAAAGTTAAAAAGAAAAAAACAAAAGATCTTCACAGACAATAATACCACCTTGACCACCAGCCATCAAGAAAGAAAACAATGAGGATGTAAAAATAAAACTTTTCTACCCTTAGGTGAACTTATAACTTCTTTCTTCACAGTGAGATTTTTTTAGTTAGTAATTAAGTTGTTATTCTTGCTTTTTTTTTCCTTTAGATTCCTATCAAGAAAAATTCTCCCTGGAAAAATTCTGTGTACAACAAATGCAATTTCTTTTTAAAATTGTTCTTAATTTTTTTAAATTGACATAAATTAATTATACATATTTATTGGGTACATTGTGACATTTTAATATATATATATATATATATATATATATACCATATGTAATGATCCAGTCAGGCTTACAATTGTTTTTAAATTTAAAGATACAAAATCTAACTTTGTAATAATAATTTTAAGAAACATACTATCAGAAGACATTTGACAAACTTTTGACTTACATTCTTCTACTCTCCCTTTTTAATGACACATTTTGTATTATTTTTCACATACACTGATACAATATACTAAAGAAATATCTCAAAGAAAATTAAATAAATCAAACACAGAAAGACAATACCACATACTCTCTCTCATATGTGCATGCTGTTAAAAAGTTGAGTATATTGTACAGTAGTGATTACTAGATCTGAGAATAGCCAGGGAGGTTGGATAACAGGTATCAAAGCCTGGTTAGATAAAAGGAATAAGTTCTAGGATTCTACAGCACAACAGAGTGACCACAGTTCAGGAAAAACTATTGTATATTTAAAGGTTCTTAACACAAAGCAATGGTAGGGAGATAGAAATGTTAGTTAACCTGATTTGATCAGTACACATTATATACATGGTTTGAAGTATCATATTTGAAACCTATAAACATACACAATGTTGTGTTAATCAAAATGCTTTTAAAATATTTAAGGAGATATAATTTTAAATTCCATGATTTGACTATTACACACTGCATACATGTACTAAAATATCACCTTTTAACCCAAAACCTTGTACATGTGAAATAATAATAATTAATAAAAATGAAATACATAAAGCAAGAAGAAATAACTCA